TGGTGCAAATCGTGTTGCTATGCTTTTCCTTAGTTGGTCGGATCTGAATGCTTGAATTTCATTTCTCAAGGAGGCTCGTAGGTGCCTCGACAATCTCCTTCATTCTAAATCACCGGTTCTTTTAGCTCGAAAAGAAATCGTACGAGTCTGGTACAGCCTGGCTCGAATAATACGTGGTAATGCTAATCGATATTTTTTAAGGGAGAAGTAGACTGTGCACCTAGCAATTAGCAGCGAAAGAAATGAAGTGTAATCATTGTAAACCTCATCAAGGTTGCCTTTGGACCACACTTCTAGCCAGTACGTAAAAACATAGGATAGAAAAAGAGAGAGTACATTCCAATGAATGTTTGTCCCCATGGCTAATTCATTCCTGCCGCAAACTAGTGTGCTTAAAATAGGCTTGTGGTCGCTAGTTGTTCCTTCTTCGTATGCTTGAATGCTTATAGGAACACCTCTCGATATAGCATAATCGATAGTACGGTTTGAGTTGGACCTGAGTGATGTGGAGGAGTCTGGAATACATGGGGATAGTGAGCAGCTATCTGCCCATTCTAACAACATTTCGCTTGGTGGGTGGCATTGTTCAATTCGACATTAAAATCTCCTAGTAATATACATTTTGAGTTGATGAGAGGAGTAAGATCTTTCCAGTTCCATGATTTACTTGCTGGTGCATACATGCCTATAAGTCTAATTTTTTCTACAAGTTCGATGTCTATAACACATATGTTTGGCAAGTTACTTTCTATTATTTTAACTGGGAGGGTTTTTCTAGCCATAACAGTTACTCCACCGAAACTATTCGCACCGTTCTGGTAAAAGATCGAGTGATCAGGGAAGAGCTTTTCCATCCAGGAAAGATCTATTGTACCTGTTTCAACTAGTATAATGACATCCATCTTAAATGTATTATTCAAAAGGACTACTTCATTCCAACGATGATTAAAACCACGTACGTTGAATGACAGACAATGTAATGAAGAGAAATAAGAACACTTGTCGGTGTATACATATTTTTTCCACAAGTTTAAACAAGAAGAAAGAAGAGTACTACTTTCCCACTCCATCAAAATATTATTAAACATACATGAGTCAAAAGGGGAAAGATTATTTTGAGACAGGCTCAAAAAGAAAGAACGATCGGCAAGTTTGGGGGAGGGAGTACATGAAAATAAATGCGGAGACTTCGGATTTAAATCCGAGAGTTATGTGTACTTCAAAAAGTGAATCAGACGAATTAGCCATTCTAGAATGTGTAAACATCAAAATTATACTGGGGAACCTACCCTCTAAACTGTTGATTTCTATTGGGTATTGCCAAACCAATAGGACTTAGGACTGAATACAGCTCAAATTTGAACTCTTCCCCTTGATTTATCCTAAGAAAGTCGTTTTTCCTATAACTTGATTTCTATTAGTTACTGCTCAACCAATAGTATTTCGATGAAAGCGGAATGCAGATTCGAGTTCTTCATCTCAGAAAACCTCGAATTATTATCTCTGCGATCGGAAGATAGAGCTCTATTGGTGGATCAATTAGATCGAGGACAAAAATAAAAGCTAGTTCTCTTTAATTATCTTTGTCATAGGTGAGTCAACCTTCTTGTTTCTTTATGTTTTATATATCATTTTGTAGCTCTTGAAATTCTCTATCGAATGGTATATAATAGTTGAGGTCTTAGTTGACTATGATAGGAAAAGTCTTTTACGAAAGTGGGGATGGGTGAGATCTTTTCATAGGGAAGCTATAGGGAAAAATGGGTATTTTTGCAATAACTCAGGAATGGCTTGGCCGATCCTTCTCATCTTCGAACTCGACCGAGATATTGTAAAGACTGAACTGTGTAGAAAATGTCATCGTGATCGAGCTCTCCTGTCGAACGTTATCATGTAAACGGTCGGACGGCCGGACGGACATACTGACCGATTCTAGAGTGTACTCACTTTTTGAGTACACAAAAAAGGGACTGCATCTGGAGAAAGTACCATTACAGTTTTGAGTCTTTTGTCTAAATATGCTTTAATCTCGTTTTTCCACAAACCACTTTTAGAATTAAAATCCGCATTTAGAGTCCCACCATCTTTAATATTAAGTTCAGTTAATATCATGAAGATGTCGTCCAATACTGGGAGAAATATTTTCTCGATGACTTGCATTTGATGACGAAGTTCACCTTCAACACGTACATTACCACGTTGTAGTGCTTTAATTTCATTTTCTTTTTCTGAGTCATTCTTCTTCTTGTTGTCCGTCCATTCTTCAATTGCTTCAGTAGGTTTTGTTAAATTACCAATAACGTGTTCGAAGTGGTTGATTGAGTTGAGTATTCGATCTAATTTTATCATAATTCCATTTTGGGCATTTAATGGCATATGATGTTCATCGATTGACTGTTTTCTTATTTGTGGTGGCGGTAATGGTGGAAATTCTGTTATTGAATCAAGTTGTCTATTGAATAACGAATTTGATTTTGATGTTAATGATAAAAGAGAACTAGTTAAATCTGCTCGAAATTGTTTAATTACCTTACATTTTAAATCATTAGAGTAATGTGCACCACCACAATGTAGATATTTGACCACACCTTGACATTGATGATTGACGAGATCTTTAACCTATTCAGAACAGACTTTACATGTTGTATTAGTTTGTTTGCATTGTCTCCTGAAGTCCCCCAATCCCATACAGTTGGAGCAAATCAGTATAAATGCTTGTGGTAAATATTCTCTGAACTCATACTTCAAATAATTGATCATCATATAACCTTTAGCTAAAATTTCATCTCGTACTTTTGGCGAATTAAATTCTAATTTAACAAATTTTGTATCAGATTGATTTTTGTTTTTTAATCGAACCACTTTAACAATATTGTCATAACTTGTTTTCAAGTCCTTTTCAAATTCCAACATGTTTGTTCTATAACTAACATTTGAGATAATGACTGAGAGCTGTGGAGGAATGACTGGTTGACGTTCAATTTTGAATGCTTCACCACCAAAAGCTTCCGGCCATTTTATACCAGTTAAAGGAAAAGAAAATGATAAACTGTTTTTCACAAATATTAATAAATTACATTTGTTGGTGTTGCATCGATTTGATGATATACGAAAACCGGCAAGATCAAGATCAAATGAATAATTTTCTTTGCAATAATTTATCAATTCGTTGATGATCATCTTATCATTAATTTTTGAAGATTTAAATAATAATATAAAAGGAGGGTATGGATAACGGGATTGAGCAAAACGTTTTGCTTCTTCAGTAATTGATTTCGATGCATTAATTGATGTTGATTTTGTTGTATGTAGTTGTGGACTATAAACATTAATATCACGTACTTGTTGACATATTGGTGATTCATCATAATTATGTTCCATTGGTTCATCTGTAGTACTTTGTTTTCTTTTCTTGTTTAATCGATTCGTAGTGGACGTATTTACTTCTATATCGCTTGGTGATTCATTCGGATTGTTGTATTCCATTAACGGACGTATATTGTTGTTGTTGATCCTGTTTAATGGATTCATTTGTTGATGATAATCAGAGTGTTGATGTTTTTCGTTTACTTCACGATGATAATGTTGGTTCTTGTTCATCATGTAATTCAAATCGAATGTTTCATATTGTAAATTATCATGTTCACGACGTTGTTGTTGTTGTGGAGTGCCAGGTAAAAGACGAGGACGTGGTGAAGGGTCTCTGCTAGGATGCATGGTGGGTTCACCACCTCGCACTAGCTGATTATTTTCTTGTTAAAGATTATGAAAGAGAAGAAAAAATTGTTTAGATAAAAAAAAAAGAGAATTTGTCGAGCTGGTGTATAAGTTTATACGTTCTATGTACGATAAAGAATCAAATAAGATATATACGACTGATATCGACGAGCGAATATGCACGAATGAGAAATAGTTTTCATTGTTGAAGTATGCATATGCATCAAAGATAGTATTTTTTTCAACATCTAGAAAGTATTAATTCTACTATCTTATTTAAAAAATTAATCAGTCATCATTGTTATAGATATAGTATGTCGTATATTGTGAAACGTTTCATATAGGATTTAGTACAGCTCGTAGATTTAAATTTATAAGGATAAAATTGGAAAATTGATGAAAGGTTACTTCATCTAAACGGCTTCTTGAGAAAAACAGTTTATTTCATTGTGAAAATCAGAAACTATGTCAAGAAAACGAGTTGAGGACGCATAACATGATATATCTCGAGATCTGATTAGTGTGTTATATCAAAATAGAGACACTTATTTGAAGACTCGCTTGAACTTTCCGATGATTTTCGCAGGAGTATATTATGAAGAATTATTAATTAGGTTATATTAGCACAGAAATAAGATAAATTGAAACATGTCTATTTAAATTTTGATATATTTTTCGCTCTAATGACAAACCTAATATCGATTTGTGATTTTGAGTTCAAAATAAAAACTGAAAATCCTCAAAAAATTCGTTTTTGCACAGTTTTGACGAATGATTTTTGATATCTTTCTAAGCTAAAACAAAGCCAGAAGTAATATCCAAGACTATATTCGAATTTCGTGTGATAAAGCACGTTGAACCATAACAAAATTCAACTAGTTTTGACAATAAGTGTTTCTCATATGCATATTTTCCTGCTCACCCTTGTTCTCCATAATGTATACAATACCTTCTTGCATCAGGTGATTATCCCAAAAGGCCAAACCAGTTTCTTTGAAAAATGAACTCGACTTTGACATGATTCGATGTGTCTTCTCACGAGGAATGAGTATATGGTCTTGGTTTTTATTTCTGACTTGGTTTTAGCTTTAAAACTATCAAAAACCATTCACCAAAATTATGCAAAACTTATTTTTCTGAGAATTTTAGATGTTTACTACATTTAGTATTTCGACAATATCTCCATTAAAACAAAAGATTTTTGAGAAATTTTTTTTATCAAAATGCTTAGAATTAAAAGCTCTACAAATACTCTAAATTTCATCAAAATCAAGGGTCAACTTTGTGTACGTGATAGATAATTTATGGATATATTCTTTTGTTATATTATGAAAAAATACGGTGAATTTTTATTTCGATCGTCTTTTAATAACAGAATCTCATTTCCATGGAGAACTAAATATAGGGATGGATAGAGTAAGTTTCACTCTTTCAAACCTTATATTGCACTAAGTCATAGAATTGCAAGTTTGTGGATAAGTTTTTATAATATCTGATAGTACCTTTCAACATGATAGTATCAGAATAGTGAGTTGAGGGACGGATATTTTGTCGTGAAAATCTTTTTCAATTATATATAGTTCGGTGCAACTTCACCCGGGCTACATATTTTTACGAGTGAAATTCTGTTACAAATGAATTAATATGTGAAATGGAACCGCAAACTGATTATATCGTACTACAATGATTTTTGAAATTTTGTAATTTTTGAAAAACCTCTTGTACAGTATTTCAACTCGTTCTCCGCTATTATAAGTCCTAGTCTTAACTTTTTTATAACCAAAATGATCAACGAAAAACGCTCTACAAATCCTGAAATTTTGACGGAATTTGAAAATACTTTTGTAAATCGTGGGAGGATTCCCACGGAAGCATCCTGATACCTTTTTTCTTAACAAATGAATCAATAGTTGGCTTATGATTAAACTCATTTGACGCTTTATTCTTTCAACAAAAGATTGTTTTTATTTATCTTTCAAAATCTCTTCTAACCTTCTATAAGAAAATAAGGTACCTCCAACATTACTGTTGGGTACCCCTGTGTATCTCCTCAAAGATACGAAATGCTTCAATGAAGAATTAACTTTGGATTATTCTTTATTAAACTAATTCGATAAAGTACACTAAGTTTTTGACTTATTTTCGAGAGATTTTCGATTTGATCGATTGCTAAGAAACAAAGGTTTCAAACAGCAGATTGAACTTGCTTTTTGATCAACATATAAGGCAATCTGTTTTTGATTGTCTTAAAGGTCTTTTGATGGATTGATATAGATTCTTCTACTGAGTATCTTCTGAAACCAGAGCACCGTTTGGAATGGAATGGAATGGGACACTGGTAGAAAAAAATCCCGTTTCATGAGATAGGATGGATATAAAAAGTTTTTCGTCCCAAAAGATGGGATGAGAGACCTGTGTGTCCCATCTCAAATAGAGCCTGGGTAGACATAAACGGGAATTTCCCACGGATATAACTCATATCATCAGTTCGGGGATGCAACAAAAGTTATTGCACACATAATGCAGGCTAATCCATCTTGTTCTTGGTCTATCATCATGTCATATGAAATGTGGGGAAAATATTTTCTTCTATGATCTATATCCCTTTGTATGGGAGAAAAGATCGTTGGTGGTAACGACTTTTTACGTATAAATACACAAAGAAACTTCAGTCGTTTCATTATCGGCTTCAATATTAATATAGACCATTTCAAGCAAGTGAATCAAAGTAAGATATAAGCAATAATATTCTTCTATTATATACATTAATTCGATAGTTTTTCTCAAACAACAGAGAATCTGATCTTGAAGCAAATATGACTTCCTAAAGCAAAGGTAGAGATAAACGCAAGGGAGAATGGCAGAACTTCTGTATTTCTGAAGTATAGAACTACAACGAAGTACAGCGAAGTACCGAGAAGTGCAAAGAAGTATAGAAAAGTATAGAGTGTGTGTGGAAAGTGGTTTAACAAAGGGAAAATTGTCTATTTCTGCCGTAGTCTGACCAAATGAGAGAAGCTTTTTCCTGGTAATAGAGAAAACTCGTTAGTTTTTATTTATATATGAGTAACTTATTAACAGGCTTCAAATATAGTATCATTCACTTAAATTCAGAATTCAGACATTTTTCTCGCCACTTCTCTCAGTGGTAAACAATGAAACATACGAATGTCGTGAAAAACTTCAAATATGCCATTCTGCTGTGCTTTTCCAACTGACTATTTTAGTAATCCAATTTTTCTATTTTCATCAAAAACTGCCAGTGCTATAATCAAAACGCTAGAAAACATGATAACATCTCAATCCGTGCTTTTTGGACATTTTCCAGTATGTAAAACTTTGGGACTGTCATTTTTTGGTTGAGCTAGAAAAATGTTTTACTAAATGATTGGGCAAAATCACTTGATGGAAAATAACTTGTTAATAAGTGTTCAAAAGCTCTTTAAGTTTTTCGTTGCATAAATTTACACATTCGCTACCAAATGTTAACTCTAGTGGGTCGTGTTCTCCGAACTTTTCCGAGAGAGGGTATTCCAGATCATCCCGTGAAGTTTGAAAGAAGCTAGATAGATTGAAAAAAGGCTAAAAAGCGCAAATAAACCATTGAAAAATTAAACACGTTGTGAAAATACGTCGAAGCATACAAATCCAAATTCTATGACTCATCATTGAGACAAATGCTACTTTTCTCTTTTATGTGAATAATAATAGCTTCAAGAAGTACTATGAAATTTTTTATTGCTTAATAAAACATTCCAGCTTTATCTCTTGTAAGAAAAAACCTCAACTCATTTGGTTAGGCTGGGTTAGAGATAAAGAATTTTCTTTTTGTTAAACGCCTTTGTGTACACCCTGTACAAAGGACTCACGCTCAAAAGCGATACAATTTTTGTCTAACATAAATGACTGTGAAAATTTTCTAGTTTTCTAATGCAGCTACAGTTATTTAAGCATTTACATAGCCATTTAACTCTTTCATAGCTATTTAAGTATCTGAATCACTATTTAAGTTTTCCATAGGTGTTTAAGTATTTACATCGCTATTTGTGTACACGCATAGGTATTTAATTTTTTTCAGAACTATTTAACTGTCGACATGGCTACTTAAATTGTGGTGTAGCTATTCGAACGGTTCTGTGGTGTCTATTTGAGATGGGAGTTTTTTAAATATCAGCATGGTTAGTTGTTCAAATCGAAGCAGTATTTTAATGATTAGCAGTAGTAGTAAATAAGTTGATATTGCCGTTGAACTGAGCGTGAAGCATTTTGTCTATGTTACTTATCTGTTCGAGCAGGGATGTGGAGAAACAAACCAAACGTTAGGATAGTTGCACGTGGTTTTTCAACCTTTTTCAGCTGCAGTATTCGTAGATGTACAGCAGTATTCTAGAAAGGTTGATAATTTGTCGAAATTGATCGTATTTATCTGTTTATGTTGAGGATTGTGAGGAAGAAATTCTGCAGCTACTGCATTAGTTAAAGATATTAAATATCATTTTTATTACAATTATATCTATTAGAATAAGATCTCATTGTTTATTATGAGTACATTTCGCAGATTTGATTCTTATATATAGAGCAGGAATTTTTTTTTGTTACGCTGTCATGCTATGCTGTAGGATATCTTATGTATAGTATTCGAATTCATAGCGATGAAAGATTTCAATAGCTATCTAAATACTTAAATAGCTGTGAAAAACTTAAATAGTTATGCAAGTAGTTAAACAGCTATGAAGAAATTAAATAGCTATGTAAATACTTAAATAGTTAAATGTTTATTTAAAAAGTATATCTTTTGAGAAGCTACAATACAAAAAAGTACATCAAGTGCAGAAATCTGCTTTTCCCTCTTGAATAAATGTGAATCATTGAATGCTCCGGAAAAAAAGCGTGAAAATATTTTTCCTCAGCAACAGTACATCTATCTGTGCAATATAATCATGAGACTAATATTCTTGACATGGTTTCTATCATAAAAACAGTAGAATCTGAGCCAACAA